TCTAACTGTCAGGAAGTTCTTCCTAATGTTTAGCTGAAAACTCTTTTGATTTCAACCCGCTGGTTCTGGTTCGATCTTCTAGGTAACAGAAAACAGCACCCCATCCTCTATAGGACAGCCCTTCAAGTACTTGAAGATGGTGGTCGTAACACCTCTCAGTCGTCTCCTCTCCAGGCTAAACAGACCCAGCTCCTTCAATCTTTCCTCATGGGACTTGGTCTCCAGACCCCTCACCATGTTCGTTGCCCTCCTCTGGATGACACGTTCCAGCTTGTCTATATCCTCCTTAAACTGTGGTGCCCAAAACTGAACACAATACTCCAGGTGAGGTCTAACCAGAGCAAAGTGATACCATCACTTTGTGTGATCTGGACACTATACTTCTGCTGATACAGCCCAAAATCACATTTGCCTTTTTAGCTCCCACATCACACTGCTGGCTCATGTTCAATGTGTGGTCCACTAAGACCCCTAGATCCTTTTCACACAGACTGCTGCCGAGACAAGTCTCCCCCATCCTATAATTACACACTTGATTTTCCCTATCTAAATGCAGAGCTTTACATTTATCCCCGTTAAGATTCATTTTATTTGTTTTAGACCCTTGCCTGAGCTACTGACAAATCATTGGGTTTCCTTCTTTAATTACTCTGAACAGGTGGAAGAAATGAAACGTGTTTCCAGAGCCAGCCCTTGTTGCCTGAACATGCAAAGAAGAGGCCTTTCCCAGCCCTGCTGTGTTTAAGAATGGATCTTGGATCTGGAACCTGCTCCACGTAAGGGAACGGCTGGGCTGCTGGGCTGAAACAGAAAGGGAAGCAGGGGAGGAGTGGAAGTCTTCCAAAGCACCTTAAGAAGCGGCTTCCCTTCTTTTTCTCGGTCTTCCACGTCCAGCTTGATGTCCAGTTTCTCTATCAGCTTGGAGGCCTCCTCCTTCTTGAAGTTCATAATGGCATCAAAGACCTGCATGACGGAAGCAGGGTAGAGAAAAGGGAGCTTATATGTTGCCCCCGGATACCCGGGACGTTTATTGTCATGCCTGCCCCCGACCCGGCGTCTGGGAGCTCTGAAACTGAGGACTCCATGCCTTTAACACCATCAGAGGCACGGGAGTCTTTGCCAAACCTAAGTGCCGGAAAGGATGAGCACCAGCCTCCAGAACAGCCTGCACCTGAAACCGATCAGGCAGTGCCTGGCCCCAGCAGCACGCCACCCGAATCTCCGCCACCTGTCGACCGTCTGAGGGATCAGAGACGCCGGGAGCAAAGAGGCACGCTTGCGCGGTGGATCAAGGACTTCGCGAGGCAGTGCTAATGAGGTACTAATGAGTTAACAACCCAGAGAGCTATTTGAATAGGTCACGGACTGCTGGCAAACTCGTCCTTCGGACCAGAAGCTCTGCACCTCTGACTGTGTTCCTGGTATCCAGCTACTGACTGACTTCCTGGCTCCAGTCCACGTTTGACGACCCCCTGGCTCCTGATCCTCGGCTCTGCACCCTGACTTTGACACTTGCCTATCTGAACTCTGACTCTCGGTAGCGCTCTGACTACGGCCTGGCTTTATGTATTGGGACTTTTGCTCTGGCTGTTTTGCTCTCTTTCAGGCTTAACTCTCAGACTGGACTGTGAACTCCCACTCTCTGCCTTGCCCCACTGGCCCTGTCATGACATTTATCATCAATCCGCAGCCTGGAACTGAGCGCCGAAAGCAAAACCGAGGAAGGGATGAAGACGGCTTTACCTTAAAAATGGGGTCCAGGATGAGTTGGCAGAAGGTCCGTGGCAACTTCTTTCCATCGGGAGTGTTTGCGGACTTGCTGAATTTCCCAGCCGCCGGGTCGAAATACCTAAATAAAAATTGGAAGTAATTCTGAGGGATTTGGAAAGAAGTGGACGCTTGGGATAGCTGATTCCTGAGGTCCCCGACCTCTTTCGTCCTGTGGGCACCTTTGGAAGCCTGACGCAGCACGGTCGTTGCCGCCACAACATCGCTGCTGCAGGAGGCTGAGCCGGCCAGAAAAGGGCTGCCCCAGCCTACCACCCATTACACAGGCGAAGATCGATTACGCAGTGAAGATCCTTGTGCTACGATGGCCACTGCACAGCCAATCAAATCTCCAGTTCTTACCAAACACCGATTGCCCACTGAACTCTGGGTGGTCCCCTATTTGCTGGCAGACAACAACCCTGAAACCACTTATTCTGTTACAAAATTTTAAAATGATAGTTTTATCTGTAAAGCGACAAATATCTGGTTTGTCCCCACTGTAACGGAATTTAGCATACACTCAATTAATATTTAAAGGAATTATAGTTTTATCAATGACTTAACATTTTAGATTTTAGATTTGACTATTTTGACTGTAAACTTTGATTGTGAACTTCGAATCTGGAGGCTAGTGCTGTACGTTCATGTACGGTAACTGAGCCGAAGACCTTGGTCGTATAGAAGTTGATAAACATAAGTAAGTGGCCAATCAGAAGCCTTGCTGGGCAAGAGCCCCACCTGGCCCTACCCACTTTTTAAAAACTGCTTGGTGGGCGCCCGGAAACGTGTCTATGAGCACCGCGGTGCCCGTGGGCACCCTGTTGGGGACCCCTGGCCTATTTGTTTTAACCCGGCCGATGCGTTTGTCAAAGAATGACAGTCGTTCTCCGCCACCATCTGCCATTCTCATGCATATTAAGTCACTTAACAGACTATAATTGCCACAGGCAAAACTGCTCCAGCTCTTTCAACAATGAACCCATCTCTTCTTACTGTAACATTTTACTTCACTTACATCCCACTGTTCCCAAGGTGGCTTACGTACTTCTCTTATCCAGGTTATCCTCACAATAACCCTGCGAGGTAGGCCAGGCGGACAGTGCGGGTGACTGCCCCAAGGTCAGCTAGCCAGCTTCCGCTGCAGAGCTGGAACCTGAACCTGGGCCTCCCAACTCTCCACAGCACACTGGGCTCCACAGAACATGCAGAGACACGGCGCTCTCCTGGAGATGCTCCCCAAACGGCCCACAGGGAGCAACGCGCGCCGCGACTCACTTGTCCCCCCACAGCTTCTTCATCATGTCTTCTACTTTCTTCGCCCTTTCGGCCGCCGAGAGCTGCACCTTCTCTCCTTTGGCAGCAAATTTGGCCACGTACATCTCAGCAAACTGCTTCAGGGTGAAAGCCCAGCCGTGCAGGCCGGAGCCGAAGCCGACGGTGCCGATGACTGGATCAATCTGGAATGGGGAGAAGTCACTGATCAGCGATACTGAAATGCATTTAAGTTGGAACGACATGGACTGCCAAAAAGACAAAGAAATGGGTTCTAGAGCAAACAGAAGAAGAAGAAGAAGAAGAAGAAGAAGAAGAGGAAGAGGAAGAGATTGGATTTATACCCCGCCCTTCACTACCCAAGGGAGTCTCAGAGCGGCTTACAAAGTCCTTTCCCTCCCTACAACAGACACCCTGTGAGGTAGGTGGCGCTGAGAGAGCTCTGAGAGAAACGGCTCTTTTTCAAGTACAGCTCTCATCAGAACTATGGCTTGCCCAAGGTCATCCAGCAGGTGCAAGTGGAGGAGTGGGGAATCAAACCTAGTTCTCCCAGATTAGAGTCTGCGCACTTAACCACTACACCAAACTGGCTCTCAAAGTGACTAAACCGAGGCTATCGTACTTTGGTCACATATGAGAAGACAAAGAGTCCCTGGAAAAAACCATAATGCTGGGAAGAAGGCAGCAGCAGAAGAGGAAGGCCCAACGTAAGATGGACGGACTCAATCAAGGGAGCCTGCGCCCTCCATCTGCAAGACCTGAACCGGGGCTGTTAAGGACAGGACATTTTGGATGACGTTCATTCACAGGATGGCCATGAGTCGGAGGCAACTCGACGGCACTTCACACACACACACACACACCACTAAAACCGAAAAGGCTTATATCTAATATTTAAATGCTAATGTGCTTTACAAGTAGTTAGTGTGAGAGCCAGTTTGGTGTGGTGGTTAAGTTCGCGGACTCTAATCTCGGAGAACTGGGTTTGATTCCCCACTCCTCTACTTGCACCTGGCTGGATGACCTTGGGCAAGCCGTGGTTCTGATAAGAACTGTCCTTGAAAAAGAGCAGTCTCTGTCAGAGCTCTCTCAGCCCCACCTACTTCACAGGGTGTCTGTTGTGGGGAGGGGAAGGGAAAGGAAAAGGAGTTTGTGAGCCGCTCTGAGACACCTTTGGGTAGTGAAGGGCAGGGTATAAATCCAATCTCTTCTTCTCTTCTTCTTCTACTTACGGCCCGGCCAGCAGGCAAAAGTTTGGGTCAAAACTCACAAAGCACATAGAAGCTTGAAACAAAACTCCCATCTCATCAAATTCTTATCCTGGAGAGGGCAGGGAAGCACAAAGGCACTTCCTGCTATCTTTTAACCTCTTTGGCAAATGTCCCGCCAACACAGAACGTGCCGGTTTAGTGAGGACCGCGATACGTCAGTGACGCAACGGCCTCGCTGCGGCTTTGGCCCCGGTCTGCTCAGCTGCTGAGTCGGTAGCAAGGCAGGCCCTGGAGAGGCCAGTGGGAGCGGAACCTGCTCTGTTTACAAATATTTCTGGGCTGCCTTTCCGTTCATTTAATGCTCAAGGTAGCTTAGGCGAAAAAGTACAACTATATTAAAGACCAACTGAAGCTCTGACAATATTAAAAGCTGCAACAATGCAAATTCTCTTCAAAGACCTCTTGCTCAAACAAAAACATTTTGAACTGGCCTCGGAAGGCCTGTAGTGATGGGGAAGAGAGTTATGCTTCTGGCGGGTCTATCGACCCCATCATCCAGTTGTGTCCCAGGAAAACCACAAGCTACTGCTGATTGTGTTATTTCGGGGACCTGTGGCTGGCTGTCCATGTTTTAAAAGCACCTCACTGTCAGCTGAGTGTTGAAAGGAATTTGCATGTGCCTTTTCTGCGAGAAACACCTGATCTGGCATCTGCTGATGCAGATGTTATTTTTTCGGAGTTCTAGCATGCGATGCAGCCTCTGCTCTCTGTAGCCCATGCAAAGAAAAATGGTTCCTTGCTCTGCTCTGTAAAATAAAATCTTTGGTTCAGGCTGTGTAGAGGCCTGCAAGAACTTTCCCAGAGACGGTTAGAGATAGTGGTGACCTTGCCGGAGCTAAATTGTTTTCAGCTGAGAGCAGTACCAACCGCCCTTGACGCTTCCAATTAGCACATTCCAAGCAACTGAGCTCTAGACACCTGTGTGGGGGCAGAGACGGGCCGAGCTGCAGTATGGTTTCGCTTCTCTCCCTCTTGCTGTTGTCCAAGGATGTCATGTGCCTAGCAACTCAGAGAGTTACATCATCTCTTGGGTATCTCATTGGTCCAGCGGCCGAGGATCAGTCAGAGACCCCTTTCCTATAAATCTAGTTACACTATGATATAGTGGTGACCTTGCTGGAGCTAAACTGTTTTCAGCTGAGAGCGGTACCAACTGCCCTTGAAGTTTCCAATTAGCACATTCCAAGCAACTGAGCTCTAAACACCTGTGTGGGGGCAGAGACCGAGCTGCAGTATGGTTTTGCTTCTCTCCCTCTTGCTGTTGTCCATCCAAGGATGTCATGTGCCTAGCAACGCAGAGAGTTACATCATCTCTTGAGTACATTGGTCCAGCGGCCGAGGATCAGTCAGAGACCCTTTTCACTTAACCACTACACCAAACTGGCTTGAGACTATCTGACATGCCCTTATGTCAATAGTCCAAGAGGTTCCAGAATAGCATCCCGACGTGACATGCCCTTATGTCAATAGTCCAAGAGCTTCCAGAACGGCATCCCGACAGATTCCTGCCTGGACTGGCTGAAGCTGTGAACATCTTGTCTTGCTGAAACTGACTGCCTTTGCTCAGCCTGGAATGGTAACTGGAACCTTGTTTCTGTATGTTTAGCTATGCTGGAAAAGCTTAGGTTTAATTGTTTTATTCCTTCACTGTCTAGTCTTGTTTTAAATATTTTTTGCACCTTAAATAAATATATTTTTACTCTGTCGTGGTTTTTGCCTTCAATAACCTCAGAGCCTTAAATCCAGAGCCTTGGCTCTTGACTGCCTACCAGTTAACTGTTTTGTCTTGGAAACTCAAGACTGCAGTCCCGCTCTGCAGGGCCGACCCTTCTTGTTAAGTTCCCTGAGAAGCCGGGAGGCTTGGTCTTTCTTTCCTGGGCTGTTGGGATAGATTGAAAGACCTGGTGGCAACCTACCAAGGCTTGGGTGAGTTTTAGACTCTTCTCAAGTATTTTGTAACTTTGTTTTGCGACGCACTTCCCCTTGCACCAAAAGGGACTTTTGACAGCCCAGTCTTGTATAGTCTGACTGGCAGGAGCTCTCCAAGGTTTCCCTGCCCTCTGCCTGAGATCCTTTTAATTACTGGTGCTGGGGACGGAAGTTGGGACTTTCTGCATGCAAGCTGGGGTGATGCAATGCTGGAAATAGCTGTCTAGGGAAGACTGCATCAGTGACTTTTGGAACAGGATGAATAGACTGCTGGAGTGACTCCTCTGCACGGATAACCCCGTCCCAAAGACTTCCATGCAGGCTCTGACTAATGGGGTCTGAGGTCTTGCTCGCTTTCACCCACTGTTTTTAAACTAACTTTCAAATCCACCGCAACCGGAACGTAAGTTTTCTTTACCATAATATTACCCATGGGTCCAGTTTCACCCTCTCCGTAAGTGGAAATGATCACGTTGACGTTTTCCACGATGCGCTGGAAGGTCTGGTAGAGCTCTTCCGGCTCCAGCTGCAGCTCCAGCAGGCTCCTACTCAAAGGCCTGGCAGAAGAGCTCCGTCTTACAGGCCCTGCGGAACTGAGAAAGGTCTCGCAGGGCCCGGATCTCTTCCGGGAGCTCCTTCCACCAGGTAGGAGCCGCCTCCGAAAATGCCCTGGTCCTGGTCACCGCATGCCATGTGCAGCAAGCTGGGGTGATGTAATGCTGGAAATAGCCATCTAGGGAAGTTTGCAACAGTGACTTTTGGAACAGGACAAACAGACTGCTGGAGCGACTTCTCTGCACGGATAACCCCGCCCCAAAGACTTCCATACGGGCTCTGACTAATGGGGTCTGAGGTCTTGCTCGCTTTCGCCCACTGTTTTTAAACTAACTTTCAAATCCACCGCAACCGGAACTTAAGTTTTCTTTACCATAATATTACCCATGGGTCCAGTTTCACCCTCTCCGTAAGTGGAAATGATCACGTTGACGTTTTCCACGATGCGCTGGAAGGTCTGGTAGAGCTCTTCCGGCTCCAGCTGCAGCTCCAGCAGGGCCCGATCCATCTTGTTCATCATCAGCACCGGCTTGATACGCTCGGCGATCGCCTGGCGGAGGACGGTCTCCGTCTGCACGCAAACCCCTAGACGGGAAAGTGGGTAGCCAACGTTTTCCAGACTGCTCCTAGAGAGAGCCCCTCGCAGAAATGATCGCGGAAAGGCTGTCTCCGTCAATGTTCTCCGAAAGCGCCGGCTCTCAGAGGACGGGATGAAATGGCTTCCTACCCAACGGCTAGATGGCTGACTATTCTGGGCTGCTGGAGCATGACCCTGTGTATCCTGGGAAATGCTTCTTTACGCAATGAGGGATTCAAATGTGGAATTCGCAGCCAGTGGATGTAGTGACAGCCACAGGTATGGATGGCTTTAAAAGATTCAGGGAGGACAGGTCCACTGATGACTTTTGGCCACGGTGCCTCTGAATACCGGCACTAGGAGGGGAAAGGATCAGGAGAAGGCTCTGGCCTCCATGCCCTGTTGTTGGCCCTCCAGAGGAACTGGTTTGCCTCTGTGTGAGACAGGATGCCGGACTGGATGGACCACTGGTCTGATCCAGCAGGGCTCTGCTTATGTACTTGTGAAGGCCTCAACCTCTATGACCTGTTGTTGGCCGTGCAGAAGAACTGGTTGGCCATTGTGTGAAACAGGATGCCGGACTGGATGGACCACTGGTCTGATCCAGCAGGGCTCTGCTTATGTACTTGTGAAGGCCTCAACCTCTATGACCTGTTGTTGGCCGTGCAGAAGAACTGGTTGGCCATTGTGTGAAACAGGATGCCGGACTGGATGGACCACTGGTCTGATCCAGCAGGGCTCTGCTTATGTACTTGTGAAGGCCTCAACCTCTATGACCTGTTGTTGGCCGTGCAGAAGAACTGGTTGGCCATTGTGTGAAACAGGATGCCGGACTGGATGGACCACTGGTCTGATCCAGCAGGGCTCTGCTTATGTACTTGTGAAGGCCTCAACCTCTATGACCTGTTGTTGGCCGTGCAGAAGAACTGGTTGGCCATTGTGTGAAACAGGATGCCGGACTGGATGGACCACTGGTCTGATCCAGCAGGGCTCTGCTTATGTACTTGTGAAGGCCTCAACCTCTATGACCTGTTGTTGGCCGTGCAGAAGAACTGGTTGGCCATTGTGTGAAACAGGATGCCGGACTGGATGGACCACTGGTCTGATCCAGCAGGGCTCTGCTTATGTACTTGTGAAGGCCTCAACCTCTATGACCTGTTGTTGGCCGTGCAGAAGAACTGGTTGGCCATTGTGTGAAACAGGATGCCGGACTGGATGGACCACTGGTCTGATCCAGCAGGGCTCTGCTTATGTACTTGTGAAGGCCTCAACCTCTATGACCTGTTGTTGGCCGTGCAGAAGAACTGGTGTGAGACAGGATGCCGGACTGGATGGACCAGTGGTCTGACCCAGCAGGGCTCTTCTTGCGTTCTTATGAAGGCCTCGGCCTCCATGCCCTGTTGGTAGCCCTCCAGAGGAACTGGCTGGCCGCTGTGTGAGGCAGGACGCTGGACAAGATGGACCACTGGTCCGATCCAGCAGGGCTCTTCTGATGTACTTATGAAGGCCTCGGCCTCTCTGCCCTGTTGCTGGCCCTCCAGAGGAACTGGTTGGCCACTGTGTGAGACAGGATGCTGAGCTAAATGGACCACTGGCCTGATCCAGCAGGGCTCTCCTTATGTTCAAAGTTGTAAGTAAGGCTGGCTGTACTCTGTTGAAATCCCAGTTTATGTTTTGTGTGATTTACCCATGCTGCTGTTGCCTAACTTATTCTGAAGCCCTGAGCTGGGAAATTCTTCCATGCCCCAACACACTACTCATAAAAAAATAGCATCAGGGGTTTCACCAAAATATTTCAAAGGCCATTTCTGTGAAGATCAGGACCAGAAAACTGCACTGGTTCTCAGGACTGAAAGGCCCAGTTAGGAGAAAGTCTCAGCACACTCTACAATGTTACATCCATCTCCCTCTTTATGCTGCCTGTCCTCCAAAAAAAACACAAACCCCTCAGAGTGACAATCTGGGCTCACAATAACCCCTGATTCAGATCAGACCGAGACACTGTGTCCAGTGAGCTTCAGGACTTTTCAAGACGTACCAGACCCTGGGCCTGTCACAGCGATACCTCACTCGGTGGTCACTTAATAGGTACTCTATCGCACTCACATATCTAACGCAAGCGGGAAATCTGAGTCAATAACTGTTATTGACTGTAAACTTGTGTGATGTCGACAGCAGAGAACACATTTCCAGTTCCAGGGACTCTCGCGGTTATGCTTACCCCCTCCAGCCCTCTAAATAGCCTCCTGTGACGTACTGGCTGCCTCCCAAACAAGCTGCAGCTGCCCAGTTCTGAGCCCGCTTACCCGAAACACAGTCGACCACTACAAGGGCGCCGTCTGTGACACGAAGAGCAGCCGTGACTTCTGAGGAGAAATCCACGTGCCCGGGGGAGTCGATCAAATTAATGAGGAAGCCGGCACCATCTTTGGACTGCTTGATGAAGGCTAAGTCGTTTTCTGAGAGTTCGTAGTACAGAGAAATGGCCCTGTATGAGTGGGGAAGATCCCCCCCCCATAAAATAGTTATTTCAGTGGAAGTTCTAGCACACTCTGTACCCTGGGCTTGAGTCAGGTTAAAATATGTTTTCTCTGTCCCACAAAAGAAGAAGAGGAGATTGGATTTATACGCATTCTTCACTCGGAGTCTCAGAGCGGCTTACAGTCTCCTTCCCTTCCTCTCCCCACAACAGACACCCTGTGAGGAAGGTGGGGCTGAGAGAGCTCTTGACAGAAACTGCTCTTGAGAGAACAGCTCTGAGAGAACTTTGACTGACGCAAGGTCACCCAGCTGGCTGCATGTGGAGCAGTGCAGAATCAAACCAAGTTCTCTAGAGTCTGCTGCTCTTAACCGCTACACCAAACTGGTAGGACCCTCAGGTGTGAAATACAGATGGTGGGAGCTGGATTTGGGGCTCTGATTTTGGAATTTCCACCCTAGAAAAGCGCATGTGGCATTAGGTGTGTTTCCAGAATCCAGCCATGACTTTTCTTCTTAAGAGAGCTTCCCAGTTGCTTCACCAGCCAACGGAATTTTGGTTTAATATTCACTTTTTGGCCTTTCAGGTGTGTGAGAAAAGGATCATCTCTCCCCATGCCCTTGTGAGCCAAAGGCAGTCTTCTGGCTGCCGGCTTCTACTTGCTCCCCCACTTAAGGTGGCTGACTGGGAACCTGCTGGAAGCAACAAAATGGGTTTTCGGAGGGGGGGGGATGAATCAGAAAATTCTCTGGACATTTTTCCAATTCAAACTTAAATAAGTAACTAAAATATTTAAATAACATTAGCAAAAGAAGGCAATGCACCATGGAACAATCCTCAACCGTGTATACGCACTGGCATTTGGAGTTTATCCAACATTTATATCCCACATTTAAGAAGAAGAAGAGAAAAGATTGGATTTATACCCTGCCCTTCACTTGAAGTCTCAGAGTGGCTTACAAACTCCTTTCCCTTCCCCTCCCCACAACAGACACCCTGTGAGGTGGGTGGGGCTGAGAGAGCTCTTTCAACAACTGCTTTTTTAAGAACAGCTCTGACAGAACTATGGCTTGCCCAAGGTCATCCAGCAGGTGCAGCTGGAGGAGTGGGGAATCAAACCCGGTTCTCCCAGATCAGAGTCCATGCACTTAACCACCACACCAAACTGGTTCTCAACCACGGTGAACAAAGAAGTCCGATAGAACAAACACCGTGTAATAGTTCAATATAAGTTCAGATGATTGAAACCAGGACGTAACAACACACTGCAACGATGAAGTATAGTGCTATCTTGATACAACTTGTTTCACAAGTGAGGTGAAGTCCCCAATTGGTACAAAAAGGTCTGAAGATCCTATGTAACAAAAGGTCAAGAAGCACAACTAAAGATAAATAGACTACATTTACTTATGTGAAGCAGCAAACTTTCCATGGAAAAATATAGCACCAGAAAAACGGCCGGAAAATGTCCTATCCGACATCGCTGACTAGGGCCCATACGCCTTCTCTATAGTGCCTTCCAGCTTGGCAAAGAGGATCCTGGGGGCTGGGGGGGGGCACTGCCTTTAGATGTTTTGTGAGGCCATGATATTTGTGAAGGGTTTCAATGAGGACTGGGCTACACACATTTTCTAACGAGATTTTACTGTAATGAACATACTTTTCATCTTGGAACTATAAACCACTTTGAACCACAAGGAAAAGATGGGGTATACACATTTTAATAAATAAAAATAGGAAAACTTTTAATGTCTTTCGGCTGTTCTGAAAGCCGCTGCCAAAGCCCTACGCTGTGTAATAGTTTGATATAAGTTCAAATTATTGAAACCACTACATGACAACTGTAAAGACAACACACTGCGACAATAAAGTATAGTGCTATCCAATACTCCCTCGAAGCTGTGAAGTCCAGTGGCCAAAAATTCTACTTTGTGAGTTACCGGCATTAAAGTTGTGAGCAGGTGATTTGGCTACTGCATACATTAGTTTGCTCCGGAGCCATCCTTCCTGAGCTAAGACAAAGATGTGTGAGCCGGAGGCTAAAAGACTGTGAGCTAGCTCACACTAACTCAGCTTAGAGGGAACACTGGTGCTATCTCAACGCAACTCATCAAGGGAACCAAAGCCTTAAACAATTCAGTCTAACAGAACACAGCCACTTATTAATGAGTGTGACCACTGTCTAGTCAATTACAGATCAGCCAAATGGTTCCGTTGATGGTTTATGAGGTCCAGACGAAGACTGAGGAAACCCCTGGTCACTCTGGAACAGGGCGTTGACCGCTTGGAATCTTCTTGACCTTTCGTTATATAGAATCTTCAGACCTTTTTTGAACCAACTGAGGACTTCACCACACTTGTGAAACAAGTTGTATCGAGATAGCACCATACTTTATCGTTGCAGTGTGTTGTTACGTACTGGTTTCAATCATTTGAACTTATATCAAACTATTACACGGTGTTTGTTCTATTGGACTTCTTTGATCACCGTGGCTGAACGCAATGCTCCCTCTAAGCTGTGGAGTCTTGTGAGCAAAAATTCTACTTTGTGAGCTACTGGCATTAAAGTTGCGAGCGAGCAATTTGGCTGCTGCATAAATTAGTTTGCTCTGGAGCCATCCTTCCTGAGCTAAGACAAAAATGCGTCAGCCGGAGGCTAAAAAACTGTGAGCTAGCTCACACTGACTCAGCTTAGTGGAACACTGGTTGAAAGCCATATGCTGAGCAGGCAGAACTGAAGCACGAGTTTAAATAAAGCTGGTCAGGTTAAAGCAGATCTGCTGATATGCAGGCAGGCCATACAGAGTTCAATGCAACTTATTCCTACACAGTCTGGGCTGCAACTGCAGCCTGGCTAGCAAGCAGGGTTGGGATCGGGAGTTCTGCTCTTACTGATCCTGAAACATCATCTGATGTCATCGCCATCCTCTTGCGTACCATCAGTGACTGTTTGGTGTAATGGTTAAGTGCGCAGACTCTAATCTGGGAGAACCGGGTTTGATTCCCCACTCCTCCACTTGCAGCTGCTGGATGACCTTGGGCATGCCGTAGTTTTGATAAGAACTGTCCTTGAAAAAGAGCAGTTTCTGACAGAGCTCTCTCAGCCCCACCTCCCTCACAGGGTGTCTGTTGTGGGGAGGGGGAAAGGAGTTTGTAGGCCGCTCTGAGACACCTTTGGGGAGTGAAAGGGCGGGGTATAAATCCAATCTCTTCTCTTCTTCTTCTTCTTCTTGCACCTTTCTTACAAGCAACCCAAAAACTCTGGATTACTGAGTTGGAACCTGAGCCACATGCCAATTATGCCAGAATACACAAAAAGCAATCTCGCTGAGGCCTGCCAGTTTAAAACACTCCACCCCTAACCAGATCAGTGGAGCACACCCGATGAGAGCCAGCGTGTAATCAAATGGCACTCACGTAGACTTGATGGTGATGCATCTTTCCTGCTCGTCTTTCCGCGTGTCGGTAAATCGCGTCTCGCCTGCTCGGGCTGAAGCTATGATGCCCGCTTTACACACCAATGAGTCTGTGAGAGTCGACTTCCCGTGGTCAACGTGAGCGATCACGGACATGTTCCTGATATTGGACTTCTTGTCCATGATCGCTCGGATCTGGTCGACCGTGAAGTTCACCTGAGGAGAAAAGTGAAAGAAGACAGAGCTTGAGTTTTCTTCCCTTAGACACACAGATGACAGACATTCACACCGAGCATTTTTTATACGGCAAATTGAGACAGGAGTGTTTTCGTGGAATTAAGGTGAGATGCTGAAATGAACAACAGGTTGGTTCAGGTAGGTAGCCGTGTTGGTCTGAAGCAACAATACAAAGTTTGAGTCCAGTGGCACCTTTAAGACCAACATGAAGTATCTGAAGAAGTGTGCATGTACACAAAAGCATATATACCCGGAATTAAACTTTGTTGGTCTTAAAGTCGCCAATGGACTCAAACTTTGTTCTGGCTGTGAGACCCCAAAGTCCCACAAACACGTTTGGTTGCGGAAAGTGATGTCAAGTCACAGCTGACTTATGGCAACCCCATTGGGTTTTCAAGGCAAGAGATAAGCAGCAGTGGCTGGGCGTTGCCTGCCTCTGCGTAGCAACCATGAATTTCCCTGGTGGTCTCCCATCCAAACACTAACCAGGGCTGACCCTGCTCAGCTTCCAAGATCTGATGATGTGCTACTGTAACTGCATGAAGCTCAGTGGAAGAGCCTCTGTTTGGAATGCATAAAGTCCCAGGTTCGATCCCCGGCACCTCCAGTTAAAAGTGTCAGACAGCAGGTGATGTGAAAGGCCTCTGCCTGAGACACCTTGGGGAGCTGCTGCCAGTCTGAGTAGAGGAGGAGGAGGAGATTGGATTTATACCCCACCCTTCACTCGGAATCTCAGAGCAGTTTACCATCTCCTTTCCCTTCCCCTCCCCACAGCGGACGCCCTGTGAGGTAGGTGGGGCTGAGATAGCTCTGAGAGAACGCCTCTTGAGAGAGCAGCTCTGAGAACGTGTGAATGACCCAAGGTCACACCAGCAGCTGCATGTGGAGGAGTGGGGGATCAAACCCAGTTCTCCCAGATTAGAATTCACGCTCATAACCACTACACCAAATTGGGTAAAGACTGACCTTGATGGATCAAGGGTCTGATTCAGTATAAGGCTCGTATGTGTGTGTTCATGAGGCTGTCTCTTTCCAAATAGTACACTTTGCTACAAAATTCGTTTCCCAGTCAGCTTTTATTCCTTCCTACCTTCCAATCAGTGGAAGAGCCTCTGTTTGGAATGCATAAAGTCCCAGGTTCGATCCCCGGCACCTCCAGTTAAAAGTGTCAGACAGCAGGTGATGTGAAAGGCCTCTGCCTGAGACACCTTGGGGAGCTGCTGCCAGTCTGAGTAGAGGAGGAGGAGGAGATTGGATTTATACCCCACCCTTCACTCGGAATCTCAGAGCAGTTTACCATCTCCTTTCCCTTCCCCTCCCCACAGCGGACGCCCTGTGAGGTAGGTGGGGCTGAGATAGCTCTGAGAGAACGCCTCTTGAGAGAGCAGCTCTGAGAACGTGTGAATGACCCAAGGTCACACCAGCAGCTGCATGTGGAGGAGTGGGGGATCAAACCCAGTTGTCCGGATTAGAGTCTGCCACTTTTAACCACTATACCAAACTGCAGAACTGCAGAATATGCAGTACGAATGATCAGCAAAGCATTTTCTGTGAGACTGAGGTGATTGCTGCCGTGAGCACTATGTGGAATCACTAGTAAGAGCATAAGAACAGAAGAGAAGCCATGCTGGATCAGGCCAATGGCCCCTCCAGTCCACCAACCTGTGTCACGCAGTGGCCCAAACCCTGGTGCCATCA